ATAGTTATGTATAATATATTACATTTCTGACTGTATATCCCTGTAATTATTACACACTGTAGCTTTAATGGTAAAAATCCTATTGTACACAATCAGATATACCTGATAACAGAGGGCAGAAGACTACACAAAAAATAATCTTGACTTATCGCATAGTAAAAGTAATTTTCTGTTTTGTTTTATTCTTGGATCGGGCTTTAAAGGGTTAAATAGATTAAAAATAACATTAAGAAAAAGCTATTTTAGAAATAATTCAGTGTTCCAGTGTCCTGCTTCCTCTCATTCTCTTTTCTTATCAGCTCCCCCAGCGGGTTTTCATCAGGGTTTAGCTCTTGGGACTAACATGGCCTTGGATTAATCTTGTTTTTGTATCTTGTCAACCATTTAGTCGTGTGTTTTGGACTATTTTCCCACTGACAGAAACCACAACATTTTTTTGTCGTATTGCGTGATATGTTACACTCTAACATGGTTCTCATGGCCTCCAGAAGCAACACAGTCCCACAGGATCACACATCCACCCCTTTACCCAGCAGTGGGGAGGAACTGCTTTTCAGCAAATTCATTTTATTAACCACCAACCCAAGTTTATTGTTTGTTGACAAAACAGCGGACCAAACCAAGTGGTGTCAATTAAAGTCCCAGCAACAAACATATTTATGATGTGATCCAAGGAAAGACAAATCTTTTCTTTCTAAAATACCCCCATACTTCCTGTTATGGAGACTTGGGGACCTTAAGAGGCAGTTTTTAAGTGATCTCTTGAGATTGTTTTTTTGTTGTTTTTTTTACTTCCCTTAGCAAGAGAGACAGAGTTGTGAGTCACATCATATTTCTACCCCAGAGAAACAAAATATTATGTGAAGTCCAATAAATGATATATTAAAAGTAGACTCAATTAGAACACATTTATCTTTATAAATACTGTTATATACATCGTACAGTGTGAATTTTCTATTTTTTTTTTAATGTGAGATTAAACTAACATGAAAGATTAATTTATTTTAAGGCTTTTTATATGGTGCCAATACGTTGAAAGAGGGCTTTATTTTGTATTTTATTTTATATGTTTTTAACACCAAGTTCAATTAAAAAAAAAAAAAATCCACTTCTTTTATTCTCTTTAGGCATATTTTATTTTTTTAAACAAACTGTTTTTTGGGAAATGCTGTTAACTTGAAGTGTACACTATTCCACAGCAGATTAAGTAACCGAAAACAAACAAAAACAGAGGAGAAAATGCAAAAAGTGAATCATGTTGGAGACCTAAACAACCCGCTAGTTGCTCTACTTGTTTTGTTTGCACCAACATATAAGAGGAGGGTCATAAAAAGATGGTTTCTAAAACTCCTGTTGTATTATTGCTTATATTATCTGTTATCAGTTAACTTCATGTAAATCCGTCATCTAAAATACAGTAAGTCATTATTATTATTTCCCTTCTGCGTGGCCTCCAGAAGGTGGTGCCAGCTTATAAAAATGACCATAAATATCACCAGACTGTGGGCATCAATGTGCAGCAGCACTGGCTGAATCAATGGGTGCATTATGAGATGGAAGTGCATCATCACAACGTCTGACACACATCTTCCATGTTTCAGAGGCCGCTGAACTGTTCTGTGGGCTGACAGAGGGAAACATTAACTATGCATTTACACACTTTCACCTCCGATAAGGACTTTGGCAATAACAGTGAATGGAAGCTGATACTGTAGATCGACATCACCCGGATTTAGTTCTAGCTTTTTTTATTCCAACCTTTCTTTACTCTTTATTCCCACTGCTTCATTAAAATAATCTTTTGTTGTTGCATCTGCCTTTTTAGACCAGTTTTGAATAATAAAAGAATTTAGGCAATACAGAAAAACACAGGAGGATAACTCATGCTGCAACATCATTTAACCGTCAGTATAAGTGTGTTCACTTCAGTTTCACTGGACACTGTCCATTTTAAATGTAAACTAGGCGTACCCAGGATGAGAGGCATATATTCTGTCTTTGTGTGTGCTGTTTGGAGGCTGGGATATGAATTGTTGTAGGGAAGCAGTGCAGCAATTTAGATTTTATGTAGCTGAGCTCAGTCTCATAAAAAAACACTCCCAGTTTGCTGCATTTGGATTTCAGGGATGAAGAACATCACAATGCATTGAGAGTCCCATCTTCATCATGTGTAAATGCTTTAAATATTGAAGAAGAGGCTGGGTTTGGGCTGTTTGCTAAAGCATTACATTTTCCTGTGCAGACATTTTCACTTTTTCCAGTTTGAAACAACAACCATCAAAATAATTTGTCTTCATTAGATACTGGAGGCATGTGGAAACCATTGAGAACGGAGGAGGGACTATAGAGAAAAGGCTGAGCACAGGCATCCACCGAAGGAAGCTCATCCTCTCTTAGCTTTTATCATCTTCGATCCGATGGGGAATCAGTGCAGGGGAACTGGGTGGATTTATCAAATGCATCACGCTCTAGATGTTAAGGTTGGGTGTGAACAGGTGAGGTTCTCACTACAGCTTTGTGAAAACCCGCCGACCCTAACCTCAAAACAATGACGTTTTCATAAAAGCCTCACTGAAATGACATCAAATGCTCTTCCAATGTATAAAAGAGAAGAAAAAAAAAGATCTTTTAAAGACAAATACTGGGAAATGGGTTTATTTATTTCTTTTAATTTATTTTGTCATATTTTTGTAAAATCTGAAAAGAATAGTTAATAAAACTCTTTTCAAATGCTTTGAATGTGTTGGATTTTGTTTTAGATATTTCCCTGTTGACCAGATGAAAGGGGCGTTTCGTGGTTCCTCAAGTGGGTTTCAAGGAGAAGAAATCGGTAGAAAACATTTTACCTGCAGGAGAAGACAGTGTTTGGTAAAGGTTTTAAACCCCTTAAAACTTTTTTAACTTTAAACCACGATTGTCTTTTACTCACATCCTAGGTCAGAGAAGATTACCCAAATTATTAATTTTTTTGTCAAACGGCAAGAAAAAAAATTTTCTTTTAGTTTCTTCACTCAAATGTTTCCGTACACTAAGATTATTATGCCTTTTTGATATATTGGGAAAACACATCTGCAGGCTTCTGTTGGATTAATTCACAAACTAGGTCAGTTGAAGGCACACTGCAAAAACTGCTTCCTCTGTTGGATTGAGAGAAAATTAAAGGAAGTTATCAAGAGATACCTGAAGGTCCTACTTTCATGGATATATTTGTTCAGGAGGGAGGATAGGTTCTGAGGCCCAGATGTGAAGGTTTAATGGTGTGAGGTCTAACCAATAAGCATGCTGAAGCTGAACAGACTCCACTGGAAACGCAACTGTCAAGTCGTCCATAAGAAAGGACAGAGGAGGCTGTACTTTAAAAAAGCTCATGGCCTTCAGTGTTTGCAGCAACACTGGAAAAAAAATCAAAATCTAGATAAGTAATTTTTTCTTAAAATAAGAGTTTTTTTCTTGGATTGAGGAGGTAAAAGAGACAGTTTGCCGATGGAACAAGACAATTTACTCTTAAATCAAAACATAATTGCATTTTCTTATTTTAAGTGCATATTATCTAATTATCTTATTCTATGAGTAAAAATACTAATTTCGTTGGCAAACTATTTACCTACTCAAATTTAGGGTAAATACACTTAATTTACAAAATTTTTTACTGATTTTATATTGATGCATATCTTTTGTTGTGGAGACTGTGATCTTTTCTGCCTTAATCTGCAGAGTTAACAGCATCAATGACAATAAAAATGCTGGAATAAAAAACTTGAATCAGAGCAAATGACTTAAAGAAGCTAAACAAGCTAAAAAGAAGGCCATTTCTGTTTTAGGAGCTCCTATATATCCTCTGGAGATGATTTCACACAGAATTCTTCATAATAAAAGAAGAACTGTGAACATCGTCTAGAAGACAGTTAAACAACAACAGTGTCATCATTCAAAGGGTTCTCCATGTGTCTGTAAGACAGCTCCATTACATTAGACCCTGCAAACAGTTAACATCTTAAACTCATTACTGGAGCATTCATTTTCTCTTTGTGATCAAATAAAAAATTAATGAGTTACATTGTCAGGAAATGCTGGACAGACATTTGTCGATCTGAGTGGAAGAAATCAATTCTTTACTTCAAGTGAACACAAACCAAAGCTAAATATGATCAGAAAAAAATAACTTAAAATATCCTAATGTGTGTAAAAAAACAAAAAGAAAACCACACATTTTGGGTTGTAATTTGACCAAAAGAAAGTTTGAATTATCCTGCTGCATGATATAATGATACTGTATAATCATTAAATAAGAGTAGGACCAGAATGTTCTATGCAACCATGTATTATTTATCAGATCTCAGTCCATCATGTTCTTTCTCTTTACCCAGTTCCATGAGATCTGACTTCTTATGGTTGGTAATAAGTACATGTTAAAAACAGGAAACAAGTTTCAATCAGGCTTTATTTAAGCAAAGCTTAACAGAACATCTGATCAAACACACAGTATGGGAGCAAGGCCTAGGGTGGAGCTGAACAGTCTATCAAAGCAGAAGCATATGTTTTATAATTAATAAAAAAAAAAAAAAAACACTGGAGCTGTACACTGCTGCATCGGTGGATAAAAGATCAGGAAAGTTCAACATGACTGCCGGGCAGTGATAAGAGCAAGTAGCTTCATTGCAGCGGTGGAGCCTAAACCACCAGTATCAACTGAAAGCAGGACTGGGACTGAACGCTACTGTCCATGCTTGATGTGCGTTATGTGGCTGGAAACAATAAAAGATCCCTTTCAAAAAACAGGCAAATCTGGAGGACACCTTCGAGCCACGGCAGCTGAGGGGATCCGACCCACGATGAGCAGTTGTAAGGCCTCTAAGCTGATACAAGACGTCATCACAACCCCCCCTTCAGTTATGCAACATAACATCCAGCAGTTAAAACAACAACATGCAAGCGAGATAACATCCACTGGGTTGCATCTTTTTCTTGTTGTATCCAGGGGTATGTTTTTATTTAGTGAAACACAAACTTGTTCTGGTTTTATTTATTTAGGGAAAAGTTAAATAAAGCGCTCTCCACCCATCCTCTCATGTAATTGGATATTTTTATTACTATCTGTGCTGTTAAAGGTCTGAATATATCCAAATTCCTCCCTCTAAGAAAATCAACTGCTGTCTGTAGCCATAGTTAGCAAGATGCTAGATTTTAAAATGCATCTCAGACACATTAACACCCTAAACCCTACGAGCAATGGTCCCAGAATATACAGCACACAGGAATATATTCACAGATCTTATATGGGGGAGATTTTGGAAGAAATTGCTCCTCTTTGTGCTCTTTGTCACAGTGCATTCTTTATTAGACTGGGTTTTTAGGGATGCTGAAGCGCCCCCCAGTGGCTAAAAAGTGGGCAGTGAAGCAGAGTGGGCACTGCCGGCTGGCTCAACGACAAGTGGCAATAAAATTAAAAGAGTAAGAAAATGTTCATATGGATCATAGAGGACGCTGCAGGTGACAGAACTACATGTTTATCTCTTAAAGTAGAGTCTGACCTTTCCTGTCCAGTCTATCTCCATTTTAAATCTACACACTCAATAGTCGCTCAGGTCAGGCATACAGAACACACATTCACATGCATACAAACACTTACAGGCGTTCTGGCTCACATGGAGCGGAGTCAACATGTTCGGACTGTCAGAGCCAAAGTAAAAAAAAACGTACATTTAGATGGATTCTGACCCAACCTTAACACAGTCAGCCGGGAAAACCCTGATCAGTGCACCTCTTTTCACAGCTACCACGTTTTTATTCGGGTTCACCCAACTTTTCTGTGTTCATTGCTTCACATTGGCTACACCCTGGATGTGCACACGCATCCTCATCCCCTCACACACGAACACACACTTTATGAATCCTCATTCATCTCTTGGCTGTCTGTCCTGGCGATTTTCCTCGGAGGTGCTGGGCTGTCCGCTTCGCCTTGTTCCTGTTCCCTCTTCTTTGCTGCATTCTGCTTAAAAACAAAACGTTTTAGAAAGGTCGGTACAAGGAAGTACCATGTTGGAGATTTTTTTTTTTTATTTCGAGAAAAAAGTCGTAATATTATGACAATAAAGTCGTAAAATAATGAATATAAAATTGTAAAATCACAAGAATGAAATTGTAAAATTACAAGAATAAAGTCATAAAATTACAAGAATAAAGTCATAAAATTACAAGAATAAAGTCGTAAAATTACAAGTTTACCCTAGTACTCCGTCATAGTACAAGTGATTATCCAGCTACCACACAACAGATATGAGAGTCTGTGATGTAATTAAGATAAAAAAATAATTAAGAAAGGAATCACCTTTTTGTCCCACTGCTGATGCAGGAAACGCAGGAGGATGTTGGTTTTCTCTGTTACAATAACTGTAACCAACAAACATATGAGATAAACAAAAGAGCATGGTGGTTAACTTTACACAGTTTTAACTACTCACAAGGAAAATAGAATATCAATAATATAAAATCTTAATAAAGACACAGACATCAGAACTTCAGTCCCGTTTCCCATTTGAAAAGTAGAAGGCAATAGAATGCAGACTCCATCTAACCTAATGTGCTTCAGCAAAGATATATGCAGATATTTACAGAGCAGTAAATGTCTTTTTAAAAGGCTTTATGCATAGAATAACTGCTACTATAGATATATACAGGTTATTGCTATGTTTTGGTCCAGAGGCTGTGGCACCTCGCAGAGGACAGGAAGATTAAATCTATTTACTGGGCTATCGGGGCTTTCCTGATGTCACCTGTACAAACTTTGCATCTACATTTTTTCTTTTTTTTTTTTTCTTACCCCTTCCTTTCGCATGTTTCCTACAATTTATTCTACAAACCCACAATCTGACCTTTAAGTCCCTAAATATCCTCAGTAGCTTCTTTTAAGCAATATACAACCAACAAATTACAGCTTCAAAGTCATTAATTGTGTTGATGCTGTTTATACTCTGAACATTAAAGTCACCAAAGTCCAGGCAGTTAAAATAAATGTGTGATGTTGTGGTTGTACTCACTCTGTTCAGACGGATACTCCCTTGTGGGAAGGTAAACAGAGGGCCGTCGATTCTGTACAAACAAAACAGAAAGAACTAAGAAAGTACAGTAAAGACTTTGTCAGATTTACTTCATTCGTTCAACAGTTTTTATCAGAGAATAACTTCTTCTATATTCAGTTTCTCAACAAAACTACATCTAAATTTATAACATGCATTAAACAAATTTTAACTTCAAATCTATTAATAATAAAGATAGATTGATGGTTAATGAACAGAATCTCCTTTCCCTCAAACTCATATGTTAACAAGCCTTAACAATGATGGTTGTTACACAGTAGATAGAAAAACAATTGCAACCCAATGACTGTGTGTAGCAGCGGCAGCTGTTTACTGAGGGAAATATGGGCAGTTTCCCAGGGCAGCATCATTAGAGGTTTGGGGCACAAATGCTGCAGAAAAAAACAACTATATTCCTCAGTTTCCCCTTGGAAGAGTTTTATATTGCTCTTGCCTTTGCAGATGCTGAGGAGTTAGCTCTCCAATTAGGGCACTGTGATTTATAGAATGCAAAAAAACGACAAACTAACACCCAAAAAAACAGACAAAAAGGAATTCACTTTAAAATTTGGATCACTAATATGAGAGAGAAAAGCTATACGTATGGTCTGATGTAATTTGCTACGTGCCTTTTTCATTCTGCCACAGCCTTCTGTACTTGTTGCTACCTGTTTAGGTGGAGCTGTGCTTGTGTCTTCACAAAAAAGGAGAAAAACAGTTTGCATATAACTTTGTCAGCAGACAGCTGACTGGACCCATAATTCATCGTGGGAGTTCATTTACATATTTAGAGTCATATCAGAAACAGGCGATGGAAAAGCAAGCCGGTGTGAACTGGTCTCACTTGCAAAGAGTTGAACAAGGAAACAAATCAGTAGCATTGTGCTATCATTGAAGATTTCTTTATGTGTCATAAATAAATGATTTTACAAAATCTGGAAAAGAGTTAATCAACTTTTTTGCCCTTCATATCATACTTAGAAAACTTGCAGGTAAATAAACCCAATCATAATGGAAAAATAAAATGTTGGTTTAAAAAAAACAAACTATAGGATTTTAATTGGCCCTCTGCTTTTAGAGTAGGCCTTATATGATTACCTGCTAGGGGCTGTAAGGCACCTCCTCACATCAGATAGGACAATTTATGATTTTTGCAGTGACCAGGTTATAGCTGCATAACAGAAGTTTTCATATAATATAATTATTTTTGTTTCAGTGATTTCAGGAGGAAAGGAATTCACCAAGAGGCTGAGGACATTGAAAAAAAAAAAAGTATCGTTGTATTAAAGAGGGGGAAAAAAACATAGAATGATGCATCCAAAATATAACATGGCAATTATTAGTCACAGTGATCTCAGCAATAAGGCTCAATGAAAAAATACAGCAGCTCTGCTCTCCTTCCCTATACTCCAATGGGTGGGTTAATATATCCAATTAAAAAATACCCACACATATCTATCTGAACAACATATGGATAAAAAAAACTGTAAGAAAACTGTATTTCCAAACTTAAATTTAATTTATGGCTACTATAATTCTTTATTTATGAATTAACTACCTACTGTTAGTCATTTTGTAGTATAGCAGCTAAAGTCTGTGTACGTATTAGATACTGGGGATGAAGGTTAAAATTTAAGTTTTATTAGGAAGGGTATCTGCAGTAGAAAATCTAAAAGCGTTGTAATGGCTATATAATGGAGCAGCTAAAAGAACTCACCTGCCTCAGCCTGCTATTGCTGCCAAGTCACGGCTAAATGTAGTACTGCCTTAAAATCTATTTAGTTGCTTTTACAGTAAAAGCTCATCCTCCATCTACATTGTTGAGTTACAGCCACTTACTGCTGCTGCATTTAGCTTAACAGCAGCGAACAAACCCATCATTACATCACATTAGTAACAACACCTATTATTACTAAGAGCTCCTTGTTATAACCAGTCATGTCTTATGAATTTTCCCATAATCATAGCAGATATGTCACATCCTTCCTATTAATAATAAAGTTTAATTTGGTTAAACTGCAGATTTGTGTAAAGACTCTGGCCTGATATTAATTATTACTGATAAAAAAAACTAACCCTTTTCTAAGACTCCTGTGTAATTATAACAAATAAGAGATTAAATACAGAACAGGGAAGTTCATCAAGAAAGTTAAACCTGAGGAAATTTTACAGAGAAAAACAACAACAGGGACCTTTAGAGATCTATTGTTTAAAATGTGGGGGATTTTACTTTACTAGTGTAATTACGGGGATGCAGAAAGCTGTGGTGTTACTTTACTATAAGACCATTTATTACCACTTCTACATTTTCAATTAATCATTAGATCTAATTTATCTTTTTACACCTATGTAATAACAGAGGCTACTTACAGATGCTTTGCAAACTGAGTCTGCGTGGAATCTGCTGAAGTTGCTTTTATTGTAAACTGGGAGTCCTTTCAAGAAATCAGCCTGTGGGGAGAGATAGGTCATGGTTATAAAAATCATATGGATCTTTACAGGTCTTTAGACTTTTATATAAACTCCTTTACTTTCATTTAGTTGAAATGTGTAACAGGCGCCTTTTAAACTAGTTATTTGAAGACATCAATAAGATTTTTAGATCAAAGTTTATTTCTCATCGCCTCTTTATAAAACCCTAGAAAGGTAACGGTGTTCAGCTGCCATCTCTGAATCGTTAGCTGAATTGGTTCACTCTGTATCAGGCGTAGTTGAATAAAAATGCCGGTTTGGCCTGAACCGAAGCAGGTGTGGCTAAAACCCAGCTAGCAATATGCTACATTAAACCAGAGCGCTATCCCAACACATTCTCTGTATTCGAGCTAAAAACGTAAACAGCAAACGTGTTGTACAACAAGTACCTTCTCCATGATGACGACGGCAGGAATGTGTAACGTCGACTCGCCGACCAGGAGGCCTGACTCGGTGTTTGTTGTGCTGCTCGTAATGCCCGCAATAGCTAACAGGCTAGGCTAGGCAGCTAACCAGACGGATTTTATAGGAAAAAAAGAACTATCAGCCTTTACATAAAGCCTCTGGTGTCCATATTTAGACATATGTCCAGGAATTCACCAAAACTTACACAGCACTCACACAAAAAACAATCCAAGTTGACATTCTATAAGCTCGTAAAGCTATTTACATACAACCCCTTCGGCTAATGTTATAGCTGAATACCAAGGATGTTTACGTAACCACGCCCACTAAGCGGCTATTGGTTAATTTTTGCATTGAAGTGACGACAGCTGAACCTGACAGCCAATCGGAATACAGAGCTCAACCTGCCGTGTTGACGAGCCTCGTTTCCGACAGGATGAGTAGTGATGGGAATTAGGTTTCTTTTATGGATCCAAATCGTTTGGCTCACATACTTAAAATAGTCGACTCGACTTAAATGGCTTTAGAATAATTCTGTTAGCCTATACACCACAGAATAGCTTACCACCGAAACACATTGCAGATTTGGTGTTAGTGTATCAATTGCTCAGACATCTCAATCATTTATGCTCCTCTAATCTGGAATAATCTACAATAAAAGTTTAAAATCTCTGAACCCTCAGTTTATTTAACTCCAGATTAACAATTTATTTGTTAGAATGTTTTTTTCACTGTGCTATCTAAACATTATGAGTTTAACTGTAGTCCAACTTTCTTTTATTTGATTATAAATAATTCTATTAGTCATTTGTATGAATATCTTATCATTTTAATTAATAATTCCTATTCTCTAATTATTTAAACTCAGTAATTGTGTATAACCTCTGTACTAGTGGAGGGCAATTTTCATTGCTTTCCTGTGTTTTTTCATGTACAACACTTTGAAATGTTATTGTCTTGCTAAGATGATCTTGCCTCACCTTGCCCCTAAAACTGCACCCTTTAGACACTTTCACATTTAAGTATGTTAAAAACATCAATCTCAATGTGTTCTTTTTCCACATACTAACACAAAATAAAAGGCAATAATTAAATAAGTAAAACAATGTTTTCTCAAAGACATTTTTAAAAAGCGTGGTATGCTTTTCTGTTTATCATATCATATCATATCCTATTATAAACCCTGTTTTTTTCCAAATCTTTTCTATACTGAACAGTATGGGGAGGGCGGCCTAGTGGTTAGGGAATTGCACTTGGAATCCAGATGTTTTAAAATCAAGCCCCACTCCCACAGACTGCCACTCTGGGTCCCTGAGCAAAGACCCTTAACCCCACACTGCTCCCTGGGGGCCACACAATGGCATCCCCTTGCTCCCCAAGGGGATAGGTTAAATGCTAAGAGTGGATTTCTTTGCTCTGTACTTTTGACAGTGTATTGACAATACTTTGTATGTACATATCTCATTTTAATCATTAGCAACACTTGAAAAGTTGTTGCTTTAATTTTTTTTTAAACTTATAGCTGATCAGATGTCTTGTGGATACAAACATTTTCTTAAATTTAAATTTTCAGGTTTGTTTTTGTTTTTTCTGTTTGCAACTCTCATTTGGGGCCTCTCAAGGACCTGGTCCCTGGCTCTTGAGGAGAGTGGGGTATAACCTGAACAGATCACACGTCAACCACATGGCAGGCAACATTTTACTGCGCCCATATTCTAAGAAGTCTTTCAAATAAACAAATGTAATCCCACAAGCCGTTGGAACCATTCCCCTCTTTCACCAGCAGGGGGCAGCTAATCCCATGCGTAGCAAAGACTAGAAGCAGGTGGATTTAAAAGCCGCTGATGCAGAAGAGGAGTTCTGGAGCGTTTCCAGCGCCTTCTTTGATGTCCCACTATGAAACTAGAGGCCTGGAGCTCCTGTCTGATATTTTGGATTTACCTCTGGTGCTTAGGAAGACTTTGTCAGCTGGTACTGGTCGGTCGCCGTATGGTGGCTCCCAACAGGCCAGTGAAATCCAGAATAAATTAGATTATTGGATTGGCTACAACAGATTATAGCGTCCATGCTTCATAAGAAAAACGGCACCAGTTTGATCATAGAAGGTTTCATTAGATAGTGCCCTGATGAAGGTAAGATTTCTGATTCAATTTAGTTTTATTTTTGTTTTATTACTAGATTGCATTATTTTTAAGTTTTATTCAACAGTGCCTTTTCAGCATACCAGATTTGGGGCCATTCCAGACACGCAGATTATTTTACTGTTTCTTTAAATGAAATATTACATTTGATTTTATCATTTATTTTTCCTTTAGATAGAGATATTTCTTTATTTCTTTTTGCTTAAATTACATCACTCTGTTCAAATGGGATTCAGTGTTTTAGGCAAATAAATGGGAAAACACTCACACAACACTGCAGCTATATTTATTTCTCAGAATATTCTTTTAATCCAAGATATTGTTTGTGTTTTAATACACTTTTACTATAAATAAAAACAAAAAAAATAGTCTTAAATTCAGTTAAGGACTTTCTTGTAATCTAAAATATCATAAACAAACTCATTTTGTGTTATTAAAGTTTTACTTAAAGTAAATTGAAAAACTTGGTATTACAGTTTGTCTGAAAAATGCATTTCTGAACTTGAGTGAACTAAATTTAATTTTAGTACTCAATCTTTTGTCAACAATGTAACTAAACATATCAGTTTATTGAACATTTATGATAACAGTAAACAGAAATAATTATTACAACTAGCATTGTTTAATTGATTTCTGGTGACTTTTTACAAATCAGGTTTACATCACCATTGAGGGAATTGTTGTTTAACTGTTATGTTGCAGTCTTTGCCATTTTCCTGGGCACCAGAGCTGTGATTGTGTGTAACACGTGGGATGTTATGTCATAACCTTTAACAGTCAATGACAGCAGTAGCACTGCAACCAAAGTAAAACACATGTGTTTTAGTTGCAGGGAAATTTAAAGTTTGGAAACAATTCTTGAATCTGTCAGCATGTGAGACTTAAACTGCCGTAAAAGAACGGCAACCATGCAGGCTACCCTGAGATCCTGAATCAGTGACAATGAACCAAATTTGACAGAGAGTTACCCTAAGAATACCAATATTGGGGAGGCAAAACTCACAACAATCAGATTTACATAGTAAAGCCTAACAGAAAAATAAACACTTTATGCAATGCAAGCCAACTGGTTGATCAGGATTGGTGCTAATTTGACTGGCTTTTTGTGATTTGCTGGTTCTGTGGTCTCACTGAAACCTGTGATCTTCTAAAAAGTCCAGAAGTTTCTTGGGAAAGAGTCTCTTCAACTTGTTGAACTGACTGTTTCTCCACAACTTATGAACTTTAAGTAGAGTTATCTATGTTCATGTATACATCAGATAGAGTTTAGGTTTCCTTTGCTTTTCCTTGATTGGATTTTCTTTTTTTGGGGTGCTGTATGGCTGCTAGTGGGGTGGTGGTTAGCTGAAGCTGCCCACTAATCCTGAAACAGGCACTGGATGGATGGATGGATGGATGGATGGATGGATGGATGGATGGATGGATGGATGGATGGATGGATGGATGGATGGATGGATGGATGGATNGGATGGATGGATGGATGGATGGATGGATGGATGGATGGATGGATGGATGGATGGATGGATGGATGGATGGATGGATGGATGGATGGAATCTACAAGGGAGTCATCAAGCATGCTTTTAATAGATTTTGGAGAAAAGCAATTTTTGCTGCAATGTGTTTTGCTCACAGTGCATATAATACTGTGGTCATTATAATTCTGCTTATCTCAACTGATGACAGCCTAAAGGTAGCCTCTTCCTGTCTGGTGGGAGATGTCAGTCCAGATTAGAATAATGTGTTTCAAGAGAAACTGATACGATATTACCTAGATACCTAAACATTCTGTTATTTGTTTATGGACAGAGGGAAAAGATTTACAGTATCTGCAATAGCTTCCTTCTCCCAATGGTAAAGGTTTTCAATCTGGTAATGCTCTTCCATATTCTAGCTGGAAAATATAAATAGAAATTAGTGTAAATAATGTGTAGATTTAGGGCTGGATGATATAGCCAAAGATTATATCATGATAAATTTCTTGAATTTGGTCAATCCAATATAATTTCAATGTCATTATATTAAAGAGCCTTAGAGAGATTTCCAAGAATGCCCAGAACATATGCATATACAAATGTATGACAAGCATTTTGCCATGAGTATAAAACTCCTCCGATATACAATTTTATAAATATTTGCCTTAAGACACATCAAACTTCATAAAAAAAAAAGGAACATCAGTCATTGACAAATGATGTATTCATACTCTAATGTATTGAAATATCACTGAAATTAAATACAATTATACTTTGATATATATTGAAATATTGTGCAGGCATATTTAGATTGATTTATATTTTATTGACAGACTGTTAAATGAAAAGTTTAATGTTTGTTTTTTTTTCTTTTTTGCAACATCTTTAAGTTAAGGCAGGAGTGACCTTCTTATGGATTTTTTTTTTGTGGCCCTGGTGTGCAATAAAGAATGGGACACATTTAGCTAAATTAACGCTCTTTGACCGTCTTAATGCAAGAAATTACTGATTGATTTATCTTTAGTCAAAATCCCTCCCCGGCTTTCAGTTTTCATGAAACACCCAGGAGGAGTTATCCATATCCTACTGTAGATGCTGAGAATCGACACAACACATTTCTAGATTAAGGAAAGAGACAACATATCTCACTGGAATGCTGAAGGAAATATTTTTATTTTATTATTAAACAAGCCAAACTTGCAAAACACCTACATTTTTTTAGATGGATCTTTTATTTATTTTTTTTTTTTTTTACACACCTTGTTTCTTGCTTAAAAATATTGGTGAGGTTTCTGTAATTAAATACTGTAAGCTAACAATACTTTTAACTTCTAGATTCTGGTCTAATTAAAAAATGATTGGACACTTTAACATCTTTAACAGAAATAGTTAAAGATATCAGATATTTACACAAGTTTCAATGAAGAAGTATGGTCACAAAGACACAGCTGGTTAACTTAACATTCAAAAATAGAGACTTTGGCTCCTTTTCCTCTTGTTTCTTGTAAAACAAGCTTATCTGTTTAGGATTCCCCACACTACACAATAAGCCTGTGCAGACTGAAAAAGAAACAAATTAGACTGCAAAGCAGTAAGGATGCTTCACACTGTGTATTTAGTCCCCAAATAAAAGCAGCAGGGAAAGAGAATAAAAATGCAGCAACTGAAACAGCAACAAGGGCATCTGTGACTCTTTTTTCATCAAGATGAGATGGAAAGATTTGTTGTTTGTACTTAGAGAGAGTTTAATCCTCCCAACAGGGAGGTAAGATAATGTCACCAGCAAACACTTGGAGACCATACTTGCTGCTTCTGTGGCTGATAAATAACCTAAATAGATCTGAGCTTTATAGGAGACTGAACTGCACTGGGTGCATGTTTTTTGAGGGGATATTAATCAATAAACTAGTGAATAACCTTGAAAAAGAAGCTGTTAAAGCCGTTTCTGATGTTGTTTGCTGGAGAAACATTACTGTACAGAAAACCACTACAATGTATGTACATTTTTAATTTGATCTTATTAATATATGATATAAACTTTTAAATGGAGTCAGGATATAGCTAAGTAAGTGAATGTTCTTTATTATGATCCAAAACTAACTGATAAGGTTGTTTGTTGCCCTGTAGGTTTGACTGAATGTTAGACAGAGGATCACATGGTGGATAGCTTTAACTCAGGGAGCTATAACTGTCTGCAGCTATTTATATCTTTAAATGCTGCCGTAAGAAGTGATGCTTAGAAAATCACAAGGGTTTCAGTTGTAAACAGATGCCGGACCTGGAAGTGAAACCCAAGCTTTGCTAGGTTTATTATATATGATTTCTAAAGATGAACAATCTTTACATTGTAATTTTACATTTTGGAAATATATCAGAATATAGTTATAAAGAGATTTTATGTGCAGAATGTATACACAGAACTTTAAACAACAACATATAAAGTCTACTTTTTTTTGCATGCTTTGACATTTTCTAATTGCAACCTCCAATTATGATGTGTTTTATTGGTGTCTAATGTGTTAAAAGTTACGCAGTTGTGCAAAGCAGTAGGTAAACAACCAATGCTTTCAAACATTTCTTTAAAAGTAGCTGTGTGTTGCTTCTATATTCAGTGGTTATAAGTCAATACTCACAGTTATTTATAAGAGTTTGTCTCTGCCAGCAAGCTACCCTCATTAATTTGTCTTCATAAAATAGTTCTAGTTCAGTCTGGATGGAGAGAGATGGTGAACAGGAAAGTACAAGTCTTGGCGCAGATTTGCAATTAGATTTTAGGTTATGTTTTCCTTGTCCTGCTACTTTTGCCTTATGGGGCTTGTCAAATTTGTTATTTTAATTTATATGTTATTTTCTAGTGTATTTCTCTTACATAATTGGTTGTGTTTTGTGTTAAATTTACCTTTATTTACGTACTTTTAGATGGGTTCCCTCAGTTTCTTCCTCGTATTTTTCCTAACTTAATCATTTCCCCCTCAGCTGGACCCTTTTGTTAATTAGTTGATTGCTTGCAACTGTTTTTCCTTATTCTTTTTCTGCAATTTTTTTTTTTCCTGTTTTAGCTGTCAGTCAGCTTTGTGTTTCCACACTTGTTCATCTGCCTCAGTATTTCATTTAAGCCTTTTATACTCACAATGCTGCTTCCAAGTCTGCATTTTGGTTCAGAATTGCAGATCATGAATGTTTTAATTTCTGGACTTTGACTAGGCTACTCTAACACATTAATATGCTTTGATCTAAATAGTCAGAGTTTGTAAGATTCATTCTAACTAGTTGTTTTAAATAGATGTACAAAGAGGTAGAGATTACTGTATGCTAAAGTTGGGACTGTCTTAGTCATAAACTTAAAGGAATAATGGAGGATTTTCATTAATTTTTTAATAGACCCGCCCTCTCCACTTTTAAAAACAAGGCACATGCACAACCCTGTACCCGCTTCTTTGAGGGAACGCCTATTAAACGCGTGCAAAAGCATACATTTCTCCTCGTGCACACCTCGAGGATGTTCTTTTTCCAACTTCTGTTGGAAAAAGAACATCCTCCACTATACCTTAAACTCTCAATTTGGTTAGAATTTCCACCTCCTGACTGAAACTACATCAACATCCTTAGATGAAATAAAAGGTAGAAAACACCTTTAAGTCTGTTTGTTTTGACCCAATGCAGAAGAACCAGATGATAAATAAAAACTAAATTTTATTATGAAGACAAACTTTACAGCAATGTCATCAGGAGAAATGGAGATTAAACTGGGCTCAACCAAGCAAAACATCAGGGAACAAAGAAAAGCAGGCAGATTAAATGTAGCCATTTACTGTAAGGGACACTGAAGCCAGGTGAGTGTCATCAGGGGGATTTTTGATCAGCTGAGGGAGAGTATTGAGTAGAGGGATTAAGGGAGAGTAATTTATAAAAACAGAGAGCACAGCCAGCCATTGGGGACAGACCAAGATGAAGCAAAATAAAAAAGGAACTTAATAAAGGAAGAGAAAACAACCTAGGAGAATAAACCAAAATGCACAGAGGGATAAAAATGAATAAAGAAGAAACCAAACAAAAAGGTAAAAACTAATTATGAAGAGCTAATCTAAGATAGTTAAGAATTAAATTAACAATTTAATTAAATGAATATCGAAGGAGAAAAATAATGATAAATGACATTACCAGAACACAAACAATAAAACTAACAAAATCAGAGGCCCAAACGAACCATGACCAGGGTATTCAAGCACAGGTCAGGTTCTTGGAATTTGTATCAATAGTTAGTTGGTTGAAGTGCAGTTTGGTGGTCTGATGGGACAATGTTTCAAAATGCACATCAGAGCTGGTTAAGGAGGGGTTAGATCAGGCACGTCAAAGTCGACCCTATGGGGGTCGCTTCCCTGCAGGTTTTGGTTTCCCTTCTTCAGAACAGCTGATTTCCTCTGATAGCTCATTAACAAGGTTTTGCCTGTAATTTTTTCATCAAAATTAGCAACTCTGAAGCCAGTAAACCAGGATAGCCATCGATGATCCACTTTCAACATGCCTGGGTTAGCGTAAGGTAGCATTAAGCTTCTGAAGACTCAAACCAAAATTAAAACTGCTGCCCAGACCTGGCTGTGTCTGTGTAAAAACACAAGTTTAGGTTCATTTAGCCATTTCCAAACAGGATAATAATAAATCATCCAAACAGAATTAAGCCAGAAGCTTGACAGTGGCTAAAGAGGTTGACCCCTAAATGTTACTTCAGGGGTTTGCCAGGATATTATATGAAGGGTGATTCCAAATCTCAATGGATTTATTTTCTGGTAAAAATAGAAGTTAAATAATAAAAAAATAACAATAACATTAGAGGGACTGTATTTTTGTTTGAGCTTGGTATTATATATTTGACAATGTATGAAAAGGAGAAAATTAACTTTTAATTCTAAATTATTCACCTGATTTTTGCTTTGTTAAAACCTGTTTATATGATATAACCATCCTACAAAGGAATATTTAAATGTTTCAAGGCCCAAAATGAATATGCCTATGTTAGATGTAAGGGTTTGACTAATAATAATAATAATGTTTTCTGTGACTGTTTTCTATTCAGTCTGGCAGCCATGCTGACCAGCTTTATTGAAGGCCTCCTCTGTTGCCTCACCTCCAAACCGGCCAATACTGTGGTTCCTGTAGAAACCTCTGAACCTGCAGACGGTTATGAGTTCGTGGAGGTGAAACCGGGCCGTGTGCTGCGGGTTCGACACATCATCCCTGATAGACCAGTGGTGGAGGAACCCTCGCTGGGTGGGATTGTGAGCTGCAAAAGAAAAATCACGGTCTACAGGAACGGACAGCTGTTCATTGAGAACTTGGGTGAGAGGGCGAGTGCAGAGCTGAAAACCTGCCAGAATGGAGAGACTGAACCCAACAGCACTGTGGAGGTTGAACTGACAGACTGCCGTAAGTCTTCACCTCCTGTAAGCATCCCAGAGACACGGTCAGACTCTCTCACCGTTGGAAACAACGGGGCCTCAGAGACAGGATCAGCAGGAGAAACACCTGCTGCAGGACAGGCTGAGCAGACCCAGCAACCCCGGAAACGGAGGAGGAAGCCGAAGCGCTCTGTGGTGATTGACTGTGAGAGGAGGATATCCAGCTGCAAAGGAACACATGCAGACGTAGCTCTGTTCTTCATCCACGGGGTGGGGGGGTCTCTGGATATCTGGGGGAGCCAGCTGGACTTCTTTTCCCGACTCGGGTACGAGGTGATTGCCCCAGATCTGGCAGGTCATGGAGCAAGCTCATCTCCGCACATAACTGCAGCTTACACCTTCTACGCCCTGGCTGAGGATATGAGGCTAATCTTCAAGAGATATGCGAAGAAGAGGAACATTCTCATTGGACATTCATACGGGTAGGCTACAAGCTAAAGCACTTAGAAACAGGAGAGAGGCAGAGAGAGATCATCCATGCAGTCTCAGGATATTGTTTATGGAAAACCTTTTAAAAAATTCAGCATTTATGTAAAAAATAACCCCACCAAAAGCACAGTTATGTTTAAAGAGGCCATAAGATGTCCATAGTGTCTCTTCCATTCCGTATTATAACCTGCAGTTTGTTCCCACTCTCCAGCGTGTCGTTCTGTACGTTCCTGGCTCACGAGTTTCCAGACCAGATTCACAAGATGGTGATGATCAATGGTGGCGGTCCAACAGCTTTGGAGCCCAGTCTGTGCAGCATCTTCAACCTACCCACCTGTGTGCTTCACTGCCTATCCCCACTGTTGGCCTGGAGCTTTCTCAAGTGAGACATCTTTTAATCTGTGTCCTCTGTACATATTTAAGGTATCTTATATGATTTGTTAACATAGTTTTAACACCTCTATGGCATGTCTGTTATCTAAGGTTTGATTTATTTTTATGTAATGCATGTAGACGTTGGTGCTTCTAAAGATAGTGATCAGGTTTATTTCATGTTGAAATTAAGCAGATTTAAGTTAAATGCAATTTTTTTAATTTCCCAAACATTTTCCCTCTAAAATAAAACTAATATTAATGTTCTGGAGTGAACCAAACAGAGTATCAACTGGAATCTAGAGAATCTGTGTAGGGAGCTTTAAGTGAAGGCTATTATGGTTCGTAGATTGAATTGCTTAAATAAAGTTAAGATCAGTGGCAGCGATTGGAATGAGTGATCATAGAAAATTGTATTTACAGAAAAACTAAGAGAAGGTCTTTTAATAAATGGTTGAAGAATCATTGGAGCAGTGAAGATACATTTGGTTGCAGCTCATTCCCTGCACGTCCCAATCTTAAAGACAGAACAAACCAAAAAGTAGCTAAAATAGAAGTTTCGGTAAAATATTACAAATGATGGCTTAAAAGAGCAACTTTATGTATGGGGCATGGAAGTGGCTGTATGAAGATAAAGCAGGGCTTAGGTCATATCTCTAGGCTTTCTTTTCCTGCCCAGTCAATCAGCTTTGAAAGGAATTATTAAAGAAGACATATTTATAAAACCAATCCTTGGAGTGTCTAACAGAAGCCAACAGGTCTCCCAACCCCAAACACCTAGAGCATAATAAGTTTGTCTGATGCATGGTCATTAGATATTTCTTAAGTGATTGATGTAGATTTTTTAGATCATGCTCATTTTACATATGACATATATTTTATAATATTTTTGGTGATGCCTGTCTCATGTTCAAGCAATCACACTTTTAGGATGAATGAAAAAAAAGTTTATATAATCCTCATAGAGGGAAGAAAACACTATGGCTGCAGAAGCTGCAAAATGTGAAAACCTATTCAATTACAGTGACGGTTTGGTAATATAATATAAAGGGATAAACTCAGTGACTTATTCTGGGATTCTTTGTATCTTATAGCTGTAACTTGTAAATGCTTCTTCTCTCTTCGGAGTTTCGTCCCCCATAGGGAGCTCTACTTACTCTTTTTCAGGGTTAGCTACGGTAAGTTTCTCTTTTGCAACACCAGCTACCATGTTCCACTAGGGTTTTCTGCATTAAGACAGCTGAGTCTGTATGATGACAGTAAGTTTTGTGTGATAAAGTCTGAGAGGGCCATCCCTAGCATCATGTTGTGTAGGTGATTTGCCATAGAAGGTACTGTTGCACAAAATTAACTGTACAACTAAGAGATATCATTATTTGGTAGTACCAAAGCGAACATCTCAAATTAAAGTTTGTTGGCAAATATCCACATAGTAAATGACTCCAAACTTATTCTCAATTAAACTATTGAGAAGCATGTGGAAGGAGACAAAACATTTTAACCGCTTCATGCAGTTTAAAATGTAATTCTAAAAAATTCCAAACAAAATGCATGTAGACTAGTCTCACTACCAATGATAGAAACAATTTTGTGTCCTAACTGGCCTATAAAAGGACCTGGTTACTCTCACGTCATGCCAAACTTAAAGCTGTGTTTTGATGCACAGTGTATTGACATATCTGTCTAGTTCTAAATCAGATACATTTCTGATTCTGCCTCTGCAGGGCCGGCTTTGCACGGCAGGGTTCCAGGGAGAAGCAGTTGCTGAAAGAGTACAATGCCTTCAATGTGTCGTCATTTGTGTTGCGTGCCATGATGAGCGGTCAGTACTGGCCTGAGGGGGACGAGGTTTATCATGCCGAGCTCACTGTGCCCGTCCTGCTGGTTCACGGCATGCACGACAAGTTTGTCCCAGTAGAAGAGGACCAGCGCATGACTGAGGTATGGACTGATCCAGGCACCGAGTACTGAACTAATAGAGAGACTGATCCTGGTAAAGTTAGGTTTTCAGTTCAGTTGATTTATATACAACACGTCATCTCAAGGTACTTAACAGAGTCAGTCCAATCAAATCATACAGAGTGGTAAAAAGTTTCTCTATCGCAGATTTTCAGAACCTACTTGATGGTTATGCTAATCACAACACTAAATATTTCAGTTGGCTGCAGCTCCAGCAGGATGTATCTTGAAATCCAATTGCACTTTTTGCAAAAGTTTAGTTAATGCATGTACTTATTTTATTTTATTTTATTTTTTAAATTCTATTTCTGTCATCTATATAATTGTTGTTTTTGCCAAGAAACCCCTTGAAAATTAGATGTGTTCCACTGAATTATCTCTGTGAAGTGCCTTGACATGCCATGTTGTTAATTGGTGCTATAAATAGCACCAGTCAGCCTTCTACCGAGGCTAATTGTTGGTTCAAGGAGCAAGAAGTCTGCATACAAAAGAACGTAGAAGCATTGATCCATAAAAACTTTCTCTGTTAGAAAAGGTAACTGGGAACCAGCTACCTAGGTGGCCCTGTCTAGAAAATAAACACCTAAGCGACAAGCTCTGAGCCAGTGTTCACATAAAATGATGAAAGGGAGCACACAGTTACAGTAAAAGCTGAGCCCATAGCTATGTCTAGGAGAAAAACAAGACTAAACACTGAAAAACACAAACTGGTTGACCACAAACACCCAAAGGCAGACAATAAACATGTGGAAGAAGGTGTTCTAAATGGATGACAGCAAAATGAAAAGCTGCATATCACCTTGAACATACCATCCCCACTGTGAAACACACTATTGGCAGCACCATCATGCTATGGGGAAGCTTTTCTTTAACAGTTGGATGGGGTTATGAAGGGTTGGATGATGCTACAGGTCATATCCCATACATATCCTTTGAGTATTTTTGCTGTTCACAGATAACTATTTGGTAAAGAAGTGGAAACTCATGGCTGGTTCATCCTATAAAGTGCTTTATTCTGTTGGTCTATCACAAAGAATCCCAGTAGACTGCATTGAAATGTGTGGTTGTTACTACAGTCTTAGGAATCCTACATGCCAATCAGATCAATCCTTGTAGTTTCTAGCTTTGGGTGTTTTCTACTTTAGATTGTTTTGTTCATTTTTCTCAAGTAGACTAGGATGTCATTAAGGACCTAAACACTGTCAAAATGACAGGCACAAAATTACATATTTTAACCACCTTTTACCACATGTTTAAATTCAGAAACACAAAATGCTCCATAATTAGCTGATCCAGTAATGTTTCCTTTACACATTAAAACATAATACCATAATATAGCTAAAACAAGTGGAGATCATGTTACTGAAATCTGGCTAGTGTTAGGCCACAACATTCAGAGTTGTCAGGTTTCATCAAGAGCATTGACTGCAACTGCTGCTTTTTTTTTTTTTTCTCCAGATTCTTCTAATGGCGTTCCTAAAGGTCTTGGAAGATGGCAGTCACATGGTGATGCTGGAGTGTCCTGAGACTGTCAACACACTCCTGCACGAGTACTTCCTCTGGGAACCAGTAACACTTCCACCGCCAAAGAAGGAGCCCAAAACCCGCCCAGAGACCGCCAAAGCCCAAACAGACAACATCATCCCTGAGCCAGCCAAGGTCAGGCCTGCAACAGCCAGGCAAAACTAATCAAACCAAGAGGAATCAGACTAAAGAATTGAAATGATCAAGGTTTAAACATGCAAATTGTGTCTCAGAGCTGTGTGTGAATGGAATATAGAGCCAAATATGCTGATTTACCTGAACCTGAAAACCTCTAAAGGAAGACAGCCAGGAGGCATGCTGGTCAGATGTCCAAAGCACCTCAGCTGACTCCTTTCAATGCAGAGGAGCAGCGCCTCTTTCAAGAACTTCTCCTCAAATAACGGAGCTCATCATCCAATCTCTGAGACTGAGTGCAGACACTTTGTAAAAGATCATCTCAGTCTCTTGTATCCAGGATATTATTTATAGGAGAATTTTTGAATCTTTATTCCATAGCTATAAGAGAGACAGAGTAAATATAAGAGAGATTTACTTCCTGTGTTCTTCTTTGCCACAACAAACGGAAGCAAAGTCTGAAAAATACAAAGCAGAAGATTTTCAGCTTGATTAAGATGTACATTTTTTAATCTGTTGAATATTTTTGCACCATCACTAATTGCTTGTAAAAATATGAGTTGGACATGTTAGTACTCGCTTGTCATTACTGAGATACGTATGAGTATTGTTAAAAAGGATGCTGATCTCAGGAGAGAAGTGAAAGTAAACCTGCAGCTTTATTAGATTGTGTCCAGTCAACCATATTTTAATAAATAAAGCTTTAGGAAGTGAACTAGCTGAGGATTTTTTAAGAATTTTAACCTTTGAAAGATAAGGTTACAAATCAGTAAAGTGGTGCTTTTTTATAGCGTTCAATTTAAATGATTAAAAAAATTAAATATTCTTTTTAAAGCTTAAACACAAAGCCATTTTTTTTTCTGTCTTCACATAATGTCTTCACAATAATTTTATATTCTATATTTACCAAATGGCTTTAACTTTCATGATAAAATGTATATCCTATGGACATGTGTTGAATAAAAAAGTTAAACAGTTGTCTTTAAAATCTGGTTGGATTTTCAAATACTTTTCTTTTATTGAACAGCTATTCATCGTTTACAATTAAATGTGGAGGATTCTGCAGTTTAAGCATGTCCAAGTTTTTTTTCCTATTATTATTTCCTATTATTATTAACCTGGACCAGTCATGGTTATTGGCACCCCCTGGTGGAGATATATCAAGCCTTAAATGTAATATAGTAAATGCCCTTCAGTGAGCCTAATGCATGTTTGTGTAATTCAGGAAATTATGAAAGAAAATATCTTCTCACTTAAATGTATAGTGGAGGATGTTCTTTTTCTGGGTGGATAATCAAAATAAGTGGTCTTCTTAATTGTCAATCATTCTGGTGATATGTTTACATAACGCCCCCATTTTAAATGACATAGTGAGTCTGACATAGTGAAAAAATTGCATATCTTCTTTTGAAAGTAAGCTTGTATTAGTGATGCAAACAGCAACTTTTAAACAGAGCGTGCACGAGGAGAAATGGGCTCATGTACGCTCTTGCAAATGTTTAATACGCATTCCTTCTATGGAGCAGGTACAGGGTAATGCATATGCTTTTTTTTAAGTGGAGAAGGAGCGTCTTTTCAAATATTTGCAAAAATCTTCCACTATACCTTTAAACCATAAATTAAAGGATGGTAGAGGAGTTAAAACAAGTATCTTAAGGTCACTGTTGAAGGTCAAAGTATGCCCTGTGATTCCTAGGTATTCCATAAGAATAACATACTTTCTAGCTTTAGTCACATGGGTTAAAACTTTCTGGTAATCTTCAGTTTACCTTCTTAAAAATGAACTAAGCATGCAGTTCTTTCATCAAACAAATTAATTTGGTGAGATTTTTAACAGAAGAGGTTAAGTAATAAAACTAAAAAAGGCCTTTTTTTATGAAAATAGGTTTTTATAAGGTTTTTAAATTATTTTGGGCTCTGAAGAAAAAATATATACGGTACTTTTAATTCTCAATATAAAAAAAAAGAATTTATATAATTTCTTATTTAAAAGACTTGTTGGATTTAGCCAGGTTTAACAGATTAAAGTAAATCTTTCCCCAATGAATGGTAGAAAAAGTTGCCATCTGTATTAATAACTTGTGCCGGAGGAGCAATATTTCCATCATATTGGAATTGCAGTCAGTCTATACATTAGGATATATCTTTACCAGGACTGCCAATAATTATGATGGCGGCTGTATCTTGGTCAGCATTGCACATGTTAGCAGCACTTTATTCGTAGTATAATGTGAAATCATATGTAGGTCTATACAAAGATGAAAAGTTGTGTGATCTAGGAAGCAGCTTTACTTTTTAAAGTAATTATTCCCAATGTTTTATACTCTTGATTATTTATAATTTATCTCCTATGGTGTCTTTCACAAAAAAAATCCTGATTTTAGCAAAAGATAGAAAATGTTTGTGTTAGTGTCCTAAGTTAACACTTTTTATGCTCATAGGGTAAAACACCAGTGTTTGTAATCTAAACTAAGCCAAGAGTTTAGTTTAGAATAAATGTTTTTGCAGCATGTTGTCCATATCAAATATTTCTAAGGTCTAAAAAGAATTATAACAGCTATCACAAAGGTATTTAACTCAGTTCACATGACAATTCGTCATTATTACATTCCTGTCATTTATGCTGCATTTTTTAAACCCTTACAATCTTAATTTTTTTTTTTATTACTAATAAATTGCAAATATTATTTGTGTAGTTTTTGATGTGTTTAGTCAGGGAGTGTGCTTTTATATATTGTATTTAAAGGCAGGTAAGTTTTAGATTGGTATTGAACATGTTTTTTTTTTTATATATAAAGCAGCTTTGATCAGAAAAAAAAAACATGCAGCTGTTTGATTGTCCTGAAAAACGAAAGGAAGCAGTTTTCTCTTGTGTCTTAAACATTTTAACTGTTTGCCTTTGACGGTCGCAAACTGATTTCAAAAGAGAAAAAGTATTAAAGTTAATAAATATGTATTGTGATTTTTGGGATCTTTTTATACATTTTTGTGATAGTAAAATACATTTTTATCAAGCTTGTGTGGGATTTCTCTTTGAAATTAGCCTATTCTGAGTTTATTCACATATTTACTGACCAGAGATAAGCTATATTAGTGTGCATAAATGAATTGGTCAGATAATCTATAAAAAATATGTCTGAATTTTAACTTTGTATGGAGTGATCTGTTTTTTACTGATATAAAGGAATAAGGAAAGATGTTATAATTTTATAATGTATAATTTTGTAGGACCCATATATATTCACAATAAACACTGAAATAGATTATTTAAATTCAAACAGCTATCACTAGAACCAACAAGTGCTGATAATCTATTGGATCATGCTTTAATAATTAAATAATTTCTTATAATTGATTGATATTCCAAAAAAAAGACAAACAGAAACGACTGATTAAACACGCTACAATGACATAATTCTGACCCAGAGAGCAAACACTAAAACACTGCTCATTAACTGATTTAATGTCGGAATGTTTCAAGCATTTGCCACTCAGACAACTAAACAAATTGGATTTATCAGCTCCTGGTTTCTAATAAATCAGTCGAGGAAGAAAACAACAATTTCTGCTTCAACATCCACTTTTATCCTTTAACTTTGAGCATCAGAACCATGAGAGTTAAACTCAAAAAATCCCTTATTGTGTCAGCTCATACATCCCCTTTAATCTGCAAACTATGGACATAAAGAGCCCGCTTTAAGGA